AATGTCAATAGAAGTAAATAGTTTCAATGGATAAATAATGTCTTCAAATTTAATGTATATTGCTATGTACTGGATCTAAAGAAGTAAAGAAATCGAATAAAAAACTCCATATTTGAGATCAAATATATGACCCTATTTAGAATTAAGTTCAATTCTTAAATCAAATTCTTGCATACAATATATTATAAATATTAAAAATATTTTAGATTTAATTTTTTAATTTTACAAAACAGACAAAGGTAATACAATTTTTTAACTACTTTGGTTTGTAGGAATCAAGCCCTGTAAATATTGCAGCAAGAGATACAACAAACCTTGGAGTTTGAAGATGCATAAATATTGGCATACCGGACTGAAACGATTCAACCGCGATTTCTGCAAGACACGTGAAGGCACAGTTTGCAAATCATATTCGCACACATTGCACACATCGGTGAGAAACTTTACAAGTATCATGCCTGCAAAAGTATAGGAAGAAATGTGAAAACTACTTAGATATTATCTAAGTATATTTATATTTTTTTTAGTCATAACTATAATAATTATATTATTGAAGTCTAAGAATATATTAAGATTGGTTCATTATTGAGCATATGATGTACAATAAACAAAAAAATTCATTTTTAAAGAATATTATATAACTTGTAAATTTTGCTTCTTGCATTGTATTGAAAATTTATTAAATATATTGAGTACTTAATCACAATATTAAATTTGTAAAAATCGCTCGAGAATAAAAATAAGTCGAAAAAATACACGATACAGTTGTATCGTGAATTTCACGGTACAACTTTAAAGCCTAGATTCTGTCCGCGAGATTAATTTAATTATTGTCGGTCGCGATTGCTTGTAATAAAACTCGTTCTTCAGCTTGATACAATGACCGGTCGCCATTTCATTCGTGATCAAATCTACCATCACGGATCCCATCCCGTTTGCATGCCCATGAAGCTTAATAAGGCATGGCCTTAATAAGCACTTCGCTGCAGAACAAAACACCGATTAATCCCAGACTGGACCGATACGGATTGGTTTCGAGCTCGAAGCTGCCGACTCGCGCGGGATAGGTCGGCTTAGGTTCGTCATCAACTATCGTATATAATCACAGTCTTTATTCGATATTGCTCGAACGTGACTGCTGAGATCATCGAACGGTGCAGTGAAATTAATGCAACTTTCGAAGACGTAACACAGTCCTTTAGAAATAATTATTTATTTCAAAGACATACACTCACGTTTCGTTATAACGGTGTAGTCTACATTGCACTTAGATATCGTTTACGTAACTTATATGAAGAAAACGGATTTTATCGACGGCATCTAAAAATTAATTGCTTCTGTCTTAATCTCGTAAAAACTTACGTTGTCAGGTAAGCATAATAAATCATACAATATTACGATCAGTGTTCATCTCTATTATTTTCTTAATAAAAAAAAAAAAAATTACTTTTTTTGACAACAGTCAAAGTTCAGGTTGTTTATCATTATTATTTCAGAAATGAGAAAATACAATTAAAATTCTTGCAAATTTGAATAAAAATATTTTTCATTAAAGCAACATTTATAATTAATAATAAAAATAAAATATATCGAAAACCTATTTTAAAAAGAAATTAAATGATATTCATATCTATAATTTAATATTTTGTTATAATTGTAAATATTTTGTTAAATTGTAGCTTATTTTTTTTTGTTATGCACAATTTATTTCCAGATAATGGTTATTTACGAAACAAAGGAATAATTTTTAATATATGTTTTACAAGTCTCTTGATTGTGTTATTTTATTAAAACATATTTCCATATTATAATATATATTCCATAATATATTTTATAAGAATTTTTATTGTATACTTTCTTCTGATCATCATATTCTGAAATAATAGTAGTGAATAAATATAAGCCTTATATAAAAGCCTAAGTAGCAATTTTAACTGTAACTTTAAATGCAACTGTAATTTTATTTGCAATTTTAAACAAACATTATTAAGAAATACAATCAATAACTTTTTTTATGTAGATATCATATAATTTATTTAGGATACTAAAGTAGTGTTCTTTAATCACTGCCGCGAGAGTATCTCGAGCACGTGGGTCCTGCTTATGTCGCCGCACGTGAGAATGGTGCTTTAAGGTGCGTGGACACAGCAGGGGCTCGTACGCGGTACACTGAGATTCTCCGCTTCTTATCAGATCGCATCTCTGATTCGCGTGTCTTGCAGCTAAACTCTTTGACAGTGCCGACACGTATCTGCCTTCTGACCCCGTTTCTCTATTTCGACGCGGCAGAAAACAAGCAAAAAGAAAGCATCTTCATCATTTCAATCGTACTTTCAATAAAGACATTTCGAAAAAAATAGCACAAAAAATATAAAGCAAGATACAATACAAATGTATTCCTTTACTTTCGAACTCATTGATATACACACGTTACTATATGAGATACTATTAAAAAATGTCAAAAATTCCATATATGTATAGAAATCCAGTTTAATATACTGATTTAATACTGAAAGATACTGATTAATTCTTTAATTTGAAAATTAAAAATAGTGTTAATCAGTGCTTTTAATAAAATAAGTAATTTATCACTACTTTTTATTAAACTAAGTGATTCAATACATTTCGTGAAACTGTATTTTATACGTTGATGTAATACGAAATACAAAATAAAATGTCGAGTATCATTCTACGTTTAAAAGTAAAATTTTTTAATCGATAAATAAATTTCCAAAAATAATTATTCTAACGGAAGTAATAAATGACATATCCTCGATCTATATCCTCGATCACGTAAGAATTCGGTATGTCTTCAGACGAGATTCGTTCTGCTTGAGCGCGATTCGGACACAAGGCTTCTTCACAACATTAAGATTTAAATACGCGGATTTCGCGTTCATATCTCTCGCCTAATTATGCCTGCGCTTCGTGAAATCTATGATCTGACTGTTCGCGTACGAGCGTTGTACACAGCAGCACGCAGAGAGTCACGCCAAGTCCTAATTATTTAGATAGCAATCATAGTGGTTTAATTATTCCCACTCCTTTCTATCGCTGCTCCGTTCGCCGGTATGGTAATGGCAGTTAATGCAGATAGCAACACCGATGCTATATTTGCCGTACCGGTTACTAATTGCAAGCTCACAATTATTATGCGCGCATCCAGCGAACGATGGATTTGGAAACTCGGAAAATACGTAACGACGGCAGTCGAATCATCATCTCCATTATATATATATTTCTGTATAATACGTAATTTCTTATATAATATAGTCAGCGTTTTTCCGATCAACTGATATAATGGAAGAAATGCTTATTTATGTAAATTCGTTAGTTAGATTGTTGTAAATTACGAAGCGTTATAAGAGTAACATAAAGAATAAATTTTGTTAATCTGAAATACATGGTTACGTACATTTAAAATGATAAATAAATTATTGTGAATCATTCAAGATTCTGAATTATCTGTTAATTTATTAGTTAGCGAATTTAATATTATTTATTGCCAAAGTTTCATGATATGATTGATGTCTGTTTGAGATTCCGCTACAATTTTGGGAACTTGATGATAGTGACTCATCATGGATAGATCGTTTTACCAACATTGATCGTTGAATATATATAACTTTTGCTAAGAATAACTCGAAAGAGAGTGGAAACGTTCAAGATTTCGTAATAAAGCTGCACATCATTTATTATTATGAAGTATTTTATGTGAATTAAACTTATGCGCATCTATTTCCGTGCTAACTTTCATTAGCCTTAATCTTATTGTTATTTATTTTAAAGTTTGAGAGTCCAATTTAAATTATTTTTTGTTGTTACGTACATTTGTTATTTTGTTAAATATCATAATAATCTTAATTATTTGTAACACTATTGAATATAAAAAAGAATAGCGTAGTTGCCGATCGATCTATCTGTTTCACTCAAGTTAGACTGTTCCCAAGGACTCCTTTAGAAAGAAGCAAAAGCAACGAACAGTTCGGCATAAAAGGATCCATAAAAGAAAAATGGGATGAAGCATATTAAATAACGACGATGTCGATTAGTATTGACAATGGCGATTAAAGAGGCCGAATTGCCAGTCAGTAATGACCGAGCTGGCTGTGCAAGCAGTGAGCACTGTAATTTCATTGATAATATTTAAATACGGGCTTTTGATAGCTGTCTTCTCTCGACTGGCATTAACGCGGACCCCGAAGGGCCTTATAGCCCCTTCCCTCCACTCTTGACAGAAGGGCGCAGAGGCGTACTATTTATCGACTTGGTACCATCATTATTTCATCGAACTCTTTCATCGCCTTGTCTGGTTAATCGATAACCCGCGAAAAGATGAAAGTCTCGACCACTCAGGCTAATTTACCGACTATTTGAATTAAGACAAAAAATTGTTTCATAATATTTTTACCATATTTTTTTATCCAGAAAATGCACATTTCAGACTTAAATCTCTTGCACCGCGGTCTTACAAATAATGTGTGGGTATGTTTCTCGAGGAAATCGTAGGCGTGAGAGATCGACAATAATGTTGTGCAGACGATTGTTATTTGTTTAAATATACATACGAATTTTTTAACGCACGACTGCGTCTTGCACGGCTTAATTAGCGCGATTTTACCTGATCGCAATCACGCGCTACACTCTAGGGTTAATGTGCATTTAATTCACAATACGGAAAGAAACAAGCGAATAGCATGACCGGCGATATTTTTTAAACTTTTCATATTTTGAGATCCGTCAGCCAAAGCAATCTATAATTTAAGCATAGATAAAGCGTAATTGTTCTGTTCCCAAGAAAGTTCTGATGTATAACGCGAAAAGATTACTCTTTGTTATGTATCTAAGAATCATAATTATAATTTAAATAACATATATTCGCAAGTATAAAATGTATGATGCACTGATTATAAAAATAATATCAATAAAATTATATTTTTAGAAGACTCGCATACGTCAATTATCTTCGCTTTGAAACAATAATTTCCTTCCATAAATCATAAAATGCAAGAATTATAAATATACTGCATTACAGAAATATAATCATGTTTAATACTTGTTACATAATATTTATATAAATTAAATATAGGTAATAATATTTTTAATTTAAATAAAATGCAAATTATTTTGTGATACAATGCATATTCGAATAAAGAAAGAATAATTTAAGACGGATGGACAAGGTTTTTTACGAATGTAATCCGATACAATCTAATTGGATATGAAATTAAGTCAACGAAATTCTGATAAAAATCCAGCGGTGCGGTGAAATTTGAAATTTATATGTCCTGCCTGCGCAAGCGGATTGTTTCGCGTAAGCTGATGCATCCGTCATCTTTTTCTGCAGAGTAAGAGTCTGGTGAGTGCATAATTGCGCTACTACAGTCTCCTTGAGCGACGAGCATTACGAGCGTACTGAGAAGTTACATCGATTCGCTAGTGTGTCATT